TAATCAGCATCTTGATATGCCACACCTGTGAGGTGGATGGATTATCTCGGCAAAGGAGAAGTGCTCACTAACACAGATTTAGACAGATTTGTGAACAATATTTGAGAGAAATAGGCCTTTTGTGTACATAGAAAAAGTCTTAGATCTTTGAGTTCAGCTCATGAAAAATGGGGGCAAAAACAAAAGTGTTGCGTTTATAATTTTGTTCAGTGTATGTCCCCTCTGGATGCAACAAATGCCTCGCTTATAATGGGTTTTAATGTTTTTGTCTCGTCGCTTTGGCCAGACAGGGCATCACAATATGGTAAGGGACGTAACATTTCCGTCATACGCTTGAGGTATTCGGCCAATCACAACGCACTGGATAGCTGGCCAATCAGAGCACACCTCGCTTTTCAGACCGATGAGCTTTGTAAAAATTGACGCGTTTCAGAAAGTCGGGGCATAGAGGAGAAACAATAATGTACAGTATGTGGAAAATAATGTGTTGTTTTAACCTTAAACCGCATAAACACATTTCATTACACCAACTACACAAAATAATGTTCTTTTTAGCAACATCATATGACCCCTTTAAATAATCTCTGTCTAAAATACATATTCATCTATTTCCATCATGTGACTTCTTATGCCCATTCGCCATATTTCTGACCATATGTCTATTACCAAATTTACACCACAAAGATGGCACAGAAGTACTTCTGAAGTGGCATACCTAGATGTTTTTATGCAGGCTGTTTGATGCTCCTCAGAGCATCAAATACAACTGTATGCTTTGATATAAGGTCTGAGGTGGGTTAGAGCAGGCTTAATTTAGTCTGGCTTTTATGCATTACATCTTTACACAGAATTTTAAGCAGCCACAGAGCAGCCTTAACTCGGCTGAGTAAAGATGCCTTTTGTTTATGACCATGAGCGGGACTTTAAAAAAGCATGAACAGAGATACAAAGAAAACGTTAATCATTGGATTTGATCCACACCAGGTCCCAGAAAACATATTAACAGTTCTGAAGTTAGCACAAACCAAGCAAATTTTACTGTCCATCTCCTTATATAGCGCTGTATATGGAGAGTGCAATATATAGTTCGGTAAAGTTGGCAATTCACAGACATGGAGAAGAGTTGTGGATAAATATATCTTTACAAGATATGAATCCTTTGTCACCAAACATTTTGATGCATGGAGGCATCATAAATCTTAAAGGGGTCATATAACGTTGCTAAAAAGAACATTATGTTGTGTATTTGGTGTAATGCAATGTGTTTATGCGGTTTAAGGTTAAAAAAAAAACATTATTTTCCACATAATGTACATTATTGTTTCTCCTCTATGCCCTGTTGTGTATCGCACCGCGTAAACATAAAACCATGTCTGCATTTGTGATCGGAGAAACGACAAACAACAAGCGCTACTCTACGCTGCTCAAAACTTGCGTTTGAATCATCAGTGGCAAATTCTTTAAATATAAAAAATGTGCTTACAGGCTGTGAGACTGCCAGACTGTCCTTGCAAAGTTGGAACTGCCCCACTTTATAGAACAGCCTTTGAGCACAGACCCATTGTAGGCTACTCTGCAGGTTCAGGAAACATTCCTCCATAAAATGCGTCACACAGCGTCACACACTGCAGGCTTGAGTGAGGAACGGCCGGCGGACTTGAAGAAGGAGCGGCCGGCAGGCTTGCGGCAACCACATGTGACGACCCCGGACTGGACTCCGCTTCGTCCACGGTTAAAGCTGATCCGGCGATCTACAGAGCGAAGTTGATGTATTTCCTCAGCGACCAGCATGGATCAGCTCCAGGCATGACGAAGCGGATATCGTCCTCTTTTGGAAGGCCAAACAAAGTAGTTTCGCTTTCACAATGAAACACACAGCATCTCCACAGCATGGCGGCAGCGGCAACACCAACAGCGAGAATAAAAGTTACGCTTCTTTCTTTGCGTGAACATTTGGGCGGTGTTATGCAAATCTTCCCACACAGTGACGTAGATATGTGGGGGGTGTTTAAACGAGGCGTTTTAGGAGGGCGTGGACAAGTCTTAACTTTTATAAAGAATATCTCTTTGGATTTGAGACTTTAGTCTTTGCAACTTTACAGATCTTCTTTATGCACCAAGAGCTTAAGGAAAAATTGAAATCGCATCATATGACCCCTTTAAGAGGATTACTACAGCAGATGCTTAGTAATTATTTGACATCCAAGGGCCACAGCCAGTCATTGATTGATTAGTGTGCCATAAGGACATGTGAGTAACAGCATACTGCATCAACAACAAATCAATGTTCCAATTCTCAACATTTTTTAAATGTAAACTCACTGAATGTAGCTGAAAAAAAGCTGTTGTTATTTGATTGTGTCTCTGGGAACACATCCATCGTGTGACTGCTCTGTGGTTTATCAAACATCCATAAGGCATTCTACAGGAAGAAAGACCATAGATGGGCAAACAAAACAAAACAGGAAGTGCCAGCACTGAATGCATCACAGACTTTAAGAGTAAATACTGATATATATAAGTCTTGACACTGTTACCAAGGTTTCAGTGCTATCCAGTAGCATCCTTCTTACACTTCCCACACAGTCTAACAGGCTCTCTGCACTGAGATTGAAACCCACTGTGCTCGTCCAAGTGAATAGAATTCATTCAACGGTACTGGTGTTGGGTCCATGTGCCATCTTTAAACACCATCTGCTGCAACCCACTCTGTTTATACACACACATTTATTATATGTTTTGGGGGTGCACAAGAAATCGTGACGCATTATAAGTCAACATGTTCATTTGACTATATAAATATATAATTTGCCGTGTGCCTGCAAATTGTGGCTCTGTTTTCACTCTCTCTGCAGATATGGGACAGGGGCTCACATGCACAGAGCCACATGCCCTGATTCACCCTTGACTGTCCTGAGAGAGAGAGGGAAAGAGAGAGTGTGCACAAGTTACTGGAGAGATGAGATCAGGGATTTAAGAGTGCACAAAATTACATCCACACGTGCACTTCATGTTATGTAAGAGCCTTGACTGCCTCACTGTATGCTGTAGGATAACAGCAGTAGTGAGCGGACAGGCAGAGCAGATGCTGTGTACATACACAGGGAAGCCTACACTTAATACAGCAGGAGAAACAGAGAAGAATCTGACATTTTTAGAAGCTATGGGCATAAGCCTGAATGCACTAAGTTTGGATAAGTTTGGATATTCAATGACACTTCTAGGAAAAGGAGCTATTTTTGAGATTTCTTTCATGTGGCACTATAAATGGATTATAATCAGCGATGTTTAGCTTGCTACGCAGAGTATTGTGATCACCTCAGGACATATCTACTGTTTTGATCCTTATCTTGCGGCCCCTGGGGGCCTTTGATCATGACATCAGCGTGGTCCTTGATGTGGGTTGTGTGTGGACTGACGGTGTGGATTTCCCACACTCACGCAGCCTCAGTGAACCCCAATCTGCTCATGACCACTTCTGATCCAACCACTGTCGAGCAACCAATCAATCCAGAGCATCCGACTGAACCTTCAGATTTATTCAGCAACAATGACACAGGTGAGATGTGAGGTGCTGATGAAAACATTGTTTTTAAACTTTGAAAACTAACCTTCAGGAAATAAATATCAGGGAAAATATATCTTTATGTATGTCTTGATATACTTTACATATATAGTATATTCATATGTATGAAAATGAAATAAAAAAGCATGGTTTCTCAACACTCAAGCAGCCTCAGTGAGTTCCATTCTGCTCATGACCACCTCTGATGCAAGTACTGAAGCACAATCAACCACTCCAAAACATCAGAATGTCTCTACAGATCCACCCAGCAGCAACAACACAGGTGCGAACTATTGAAGACACTGCAGCAGACACTCAAGAGGATGGATGGACGGACAGACAGAAAAGCAGATACATATACAGAGACAGACAAACTGATATATAGATAGATAGAGAGAGAGAGATAGACAGACAGACACTTTTTAGCACTTTGTGTAAACAATTTCTCCTTACCTACACAATGGGTGAACTGTGTGGAATTAATCAATATTTGATAAAGGGCCTTATTTTTATTTAATCAGTTGCTATTCCAAAAGCGGGGAGGAACTGGGGGATTTGAGCAAGAGGATCAAGAAGCTATATAGGGAAGACAGTCACTGATATGCTGGCACCGATACAAAGCAAAATATACTCTCAGAGCATTATGCAAATAGAAGACATGCACACATTAGTGAAAATTCACTGTGGTTCACCACCGGATACAAAGATGCGTGAGATCTCACTACAAAGGACAGATGTCTGCAGTGATGACAGCAAGATGTATGTGGCAGTAAAAAATATATAACATATGCAAAAAATATTGGAACTGGAATGATACAGTGGCAGTCATTTCCTCAGAGGGTTTCATGATGATTACGTATTTATTGGATTTGAAAGCTTTTACAGAATGACTGAATAAATTCAGCCATGTGTCGTGAGGCAGATTATTATTTAATCACAGTTTAACACATCATAAAATATTGAAAGCCCGATTGTATCCATCTACACTTCTGTCTGTCCATGTGTTCCTCCAGGACTTGCGTGCATCTCTGTGCTTCCCCCTCGACGGGGATCATACTATGTGGAGCACGGCACGGGGGTATCTGTGGGCTCCATGCTTGTGTTCTGGTGTAAGGAGGGCTACCAGCTGGTTGGCCATGAGAAAATCACATGCATCCTACATGCGGGCGTCCCTCGATGGAGCAGCTACCTGCCAGTCTGTGAGAGTAGGGCAGCCATTTTGTCTTATATTCCAAAAAATCATCCTAATTACCCTGATTATTGTTTCCATAGGCAACTTTGTCCATTTCCATTAAATGTAAGTGAATGTATGATTTAGGTTTATGGTTTGGTATAAAATACCTTAAGAATATTTACAGGGTTTATTTTTTCAGTTGTAATATAACTGGCCATCATATCTGGTCAAATAAACACTATTCTTTTCAGGTATCCCTCGGCCAAATGACCAGGGACTTCGCGTTGCTTTACTGGTGTCTGTTGTGAGCGGGGTGGTCATTCTTGTCATGACTGTGTGCTTCATCGTCTGCTGTTGTCAAGAGTGCATGAGGAAAAAGAAGGAAAAGCATCGGATGGGTAGAAGCAGGTTAGTCATTTTAATACTTAAAATAACCTTAAAGATTACATATTTTGAAATTAAAAAATCATCAAAATAATGAAAAGTGTTGTGTCTTTCAATAATATAAACTTAACAAATATATAGCGGCCCCATAAAGTAGTTACACTTAAAGATGAATGTATAATTGTCTTAAATCAAGTTATTAAACCAAGTGGCATTTTTCATTTCCTCGATTGATTCATAGGCTTAAGCAAATACACTGTGTTCTAAAGTTATAATGATTAAATTTAAAGTTAAAAAACATTTTTTAGAGACAACATGCACTATAAATGTTTAATATTAAACTATCATCATACTAGATGTGTTGGTACTGTCTTCAACTTCAGGAGAAGAGAAACACGGAGTTCTAGGTCTCGGAGGAGCCCGTCCTGGTTGGAGCGAGAGCATATAGACTGGGAGGCATTCCCTCCACCTAAACTTTTCAGCCTGTCCCAGCGTCTTGACCGACCGCTGCCCCCTGGTAGTCCTGTTCATTCAGAGGTCATCAGAGCCTATGAGAACAGAGGGTATGAGAGGTATGGAAAATCATTGTAAAACATCTTTAAAATGGTGTTTCTTGAGCACCAAATCAGCATATTAGACTGATATCTGAAGAATCATGTGACATTAAAGACTAGTGTAATGACTGCTGAAAATTTCGCTTTGCCATCACAGGAATAAATTACATTTTAAAATATATTAAAATAGAATACAACTGGAACTTCCAACAGTAATAGCCTCTCTTCTGCCTATATTTGTGGCACAATACACCCCTTACGTGTATTGAAACCCACATCCTGAGCCCACTCGCTACAACCACACCGCATTTTTTAATATTATGTAATATGTGGGAGGATGTATAAAGCCATAAGACATATACTGTAAGATGTGATTCAGTTTCTGTGATTTTGTGCATCACAGAAGTCTCTTCTCCTTTCCACACAGGAGTCAGGAGAGTCTGCTGAGAAGCCCCCATAGCACATACCCTTCTTACCATCCCAACAGTCAAATCTACCCAGCCCTGGTTTTCCAGAGGGTTCAAACTGAGCCAAACCCCTCCACCTCTTCTACCTCCCCAGTTTACATACAGATTTCAACACCTCCCAAAAACAAGACCCCACAAGCCCCTACTGTCACCCACCCACAGACTTGTCGCAACATAGATGCAACCAGTAGTCATTCTTCTCATCAGCAGCACTGAATGTGGCCAAGACAATACAGACAACATTGCACAGCTGTGGTGGTCAGATTTAACTGGTCGGTGTAACCAGAAGCACTTTGATATTTTTAATGTTGATGATGTCTTTTAATATTTGCTATATTGTAAATATATTCCATTTTGAGGTGGACCTGTTTATTTTTGTCAGATCTTTGATAGCACTAAAGATACCTAATTTAACCAAACAAAATGTAAATAGAAGATGTAAGAACATAAAATTGAACGATAAACCAAAATCTTTTTGTTTTGCACATTTTAGAAATTTTCTTTGAGGTGGTCAACTTCCTCTCATTTTCATTATATTATATTCATAATGTGTTGTAAAAACAGCGATATATATATACTCTTGGTTAGAATGAGCCAATTGTAACCTAACTGTAAAATTTGCACTTTAATGCACTGATTCATTTGTAATAAATTGTTGTCAATCTATTTTTCTTGAGCCCTTAAATGAGTCTGGATGCCCTTGCTGATTTGAGTAAAATTTGCTACATGGGTTTTTTCGAAACCAGAACAAATGTGGTTAAAAAAAAAAGAAAAGAAAAGAAAATCTCCCTCATTTTCATTGGGTGGTGGACACCATTCGTTCAATGAACCAACACAGAAATTCAAATCATTTGACTTAATTTACATGAACACAACAGAACAAGGACAGATATATTTAAGATCTGTCAAAAAGAGAACAGAAAAAGGACAGCGAACAATAAAATTGATCTCATAGCAAGAAAAGGTCAGTTTTTATGTCTCAGCATTTTCAGTAACACTTGCACAACTTATTTTATTTGCTTATTTTATTCACATCATACTTTAGATATTTTTTAAATTATTTAAACATTTAAAAATATAATTATTATTTGTGTGTGTGTCTGTATACACTATATACATTCAACAATTTAGGGTCAGTAGATTTTTTTATGAAATATACTTCAATATATATATATACACACACACACACAAACACAGTATATATTCTTATTCAGCAAGGATGCAATAAATTGACCAAAAGTGATCAAAAGTACAGACATTTATAATGTTACAAAATATTTCTATTTCAAATAAATACTGTTCTTTTGATCTTTCTATTTATCAAATAATCTTGAAATTGATTCTATAAAAAAATAATTAAACAGCAAATGTTTTCAAATCAATAATTATAATGTTTTTTGGGCATCAAAATAGCATATTAATCATTTCTGAAGGATCATGTGACACTTAAGACTGGAATAATGGCTGTTCCTCTCACAGGTATAAAAATGTATTTTTAGATATGTTAAAATAGGGGGGAAAAGTTATTTTAAATTTTAATAATACTTCAAAGAATAAGTTTTTACTTTCTAAATGCATGCATAAGCATCTACCTATTTGTATGTGTACATAAATAGATTTGAGAGTTTGAATGCTTTTTGATTTGCCATGTTTTTGTACTACCGGCAATGTTCTTTATTGTTTACAGTGCTCAGTCAAAATGGCAAACAGGACATCAAATGTAACCTATACACAAACAATCTACAGTAATACCAGCAGCTATACAAGCGATGCAAGTGATTTTCATCAGTTGTTTCTTACCATTGTGGATAAGTGCAATGATAAACATTATGCCTATGTTCGTCTACCACTAGAAATTTTAACTTTTGTGGTGGGCATCCCAACTAATGTGGCTCTGTTATGGCTGCTAGTGAGGGGCAAGAAAGCTCTATCACCCTCTGAAGTTTTGGGGCTCAATCTTGCCGTACTGAATGTCATCTTCTGTATCAGTCTTCCTCTTGATATATACATTTCTGTGAGTGAACGCTCTGGACAGCTCCTGGCAGTTTCAGAGGCCATTTCTATCCTCAACCTGATCGGCTGTCCTCTTCTCTTGACTAGTATGTGTGTGGAGCGCTACCTGGCTGCAGCACATGCAGTCTGCTACATGAAACTAGGGAATAAATGGGAGTATCGTGTTGTCTGCTCGGCTCTAATCTGGATCGTCACTTTAGGCGTTGCGGTGATTACCTACCAACAAAGGCTTCCTAAAATAGCTATGTACTTGTCAATCACCCTTGATGTTTTCTTACTGATAATGCTGGCATGCCTTACAGGCATTGTGCATGTACTCTGCAAAAAAGGTCCGGGTGAAGGGCAAACTGGTGGAAGAGGTGGGTCATACATAAAAAACAGAGCACTAAAGAACGCCTTGCTGATTCTAATCCCTTCAGCTGTAATCTATGGACCTCTCCTGGCTATCGCTCCTTTCATGTTCACACTTAAGAATGGGGATGAAGAAATTAGTCACACAAGCTGTTTAATCCTGAATCTGATGCACACCTTTCCCAGTCTTGGGACCTGTATCGGGCCTGTGTTTTACATGTCCCGCGCAAAACAACTAGCCTGCTGGAAAAAGAATGCTGAAAAAAACAAACAATGACTCAAGAGCTACAGGATACAAAGTGAAGTTTCCATTAAAAAGACTTCTGTTAGATTAGTACATTGAAAATTATTTATAATATTGTTTTGACTGATATTGGCATTTACCTGTTTTAAAGAAATATTATTTTCTTGCTTTCAATGTTGGGGAAAGTTAAAGTAATTCATTACAATATTGCATTATTTCATAAATAAGTAACTAATTGCATTACTTAGTTACTTTTTATTGAAAGTAATGTATTCTGTTACTTTTTGCCACCTGGGCTGAACTTGCTTATTTGTTTTGTAATAACAATAAAAATCCAAAAGTTATATTTTTAGCCCTTTCACTCGAAAAAGTGAAATTAGGAAGCCTCAGGCTGAAGGAAATGACTTTACCAGAGCACCTCACTCACAGTTTCTCTCAACACAGGGACAGGAGAGATGTCAATGAATAAATGGGAAAACAAAGTAACTTGCGTTACTTACTAGAAAAAATAACTCATATATGTCATTGTAAATTTCAAAGTAATGCGCCACTTTACAAGTTACTTGAGAAAAGTAATCTGATTATGTAACTCACGTTACTTGTAATGCGTTGCCCTCAACACTGCTTGCTTTTAAGTTAATGCATATATGCCTGAATATAAAGATGTTTGAATGCTATGTGATTGGAAGGTAATGAAATACTTAAAATGACATTGACATAGAACAGAGTAGACAAATGTACTTGACTTCCTTTTGTTTATAATGTAGAACAGGATGAAATGAGCCAAAGATCTGAAAAGTAATTTTATGAATTACTTCACGGGGTGAAGAGAAGGTGTTAAAACCACAAGCGGAGGTAAGACTGATTAAGACTATAATGAAGAAGTGGAAAAGTGTGAGAAGAAGACAACAGCGCAGGCGATGGCGGAAGGAATTAGACATGATTTACAGAGACAGATACTTTTACAACAGGAAGACTGGTTCATACAGGACATAGAGGAGTTGATGAATGAGATAGAAGTGGAATTCCCCAAAAAGAAGTATAATAAGACTAAGGAGTAAAGCACTGTTTAGATGCTCCTTGCTTTAAGTGTGAAGGAAACCAGAAACCCTGTCGAGGAACTCGAGGAACTTAATAGCATCACCAATATAGCTGTTTAGAGTTTGATTATAGAGCTCTTAGTTTAACTGAAGTTTTTTTTTCTCATTAACTGCTTTATACTGTAACCAATAAAATAAGAGTTTTATATGATTGCCTTCTGTGAGACTACTTATAACTACAAGTCTGAAAAAATAAGCACAAATGTCATTCCTAAAGAGCTTCAACCTGCGGGCAGTGAGTACTTTATGGTTTAGACTAGATTGCACTATCCTTGCCCTTCCTTTATAATCATCGGGTTAAAGGTGTAAGATAAAAAGACACACCAAGACAACCATATTAATAACTACATTCTTTAAATTACATTTTAAATACTGTCTGTTGCCTGTGGATTTAAATGTGTACCTTTATAAACACTGTAAAATTAATTTAGTAACTAAAATGCAGATTATTATTACCTGGTTCTTACTGTACTTTTGGATTTGCAGACAAAATCTCAAAGAAATATTTGTAATCATAGTTTATAATTTGAGTTAGTAGTTTGTTAGTAGATGCTAGCCTTTATAATAATAGGCATACAAAAATGTACATTTATAAAAAATTAAAACAATGTTTGTATAAAATTTTGTAATAGAAAATCCCTTGTAATGTTTTTGTTGTTGTTTATTATACATTACACATGCACACACACACACACACACACACACACACACACACATCACCCTGAACTAAATTAATACTGTAGGCCTATATCATATTTAAACTGATAACTTGTTTCACTTCTGTTTCAGTTTTTTTTATAACCATTTCTTACTATGTGACAGTAAGTTGTTGTTATTTTAGCATGCGTGTTTGCCTCATTTATGTTATTTTTTTAGGATTACTGATGAACTAATGTACTTTGATTTGTGTTAGTTATCTATTTTATATATACTGTTTTTTAGTTACAGTTGTAGTAATGTCATTTTATTAGTTTTTTATTATGTCTATATAGGTTTTTTATTAAGTTTTAGTTTTATTTAATTTGAGTTATTACAGTACTTCAACATACAAAATGGAAATGAAATCATATATATATATATATTGAATGTATTTATATATATGTACATGTATATGTGTGTGGCTGTTCATACACATATGTAGTTGTTTTTTGGTGTTTGGCTTAGTGTTATGTTAGAATCATTATTATACTCATACCTTTTGTTCTTTTAATATTTTGAATTGTTTTTAGCTTTATTTTTTTTTGTTTTCATTTCAATGTTTAGTTTTGAAATGTTGTTGTATGCGTTTGTCATTTTTATTTAATTTCTTTTATTTTCTTAAATGTGTGTGTGTATATATATAGTATTTATAGAGTTTTAGCTTTTAGTTTTAATTACTTTTTCTCATTTGTAAGTCGTTTTGGATAAAAGCGTCTGCTAAATGACTAAAAGTAAAAGTAAAGTGATAAACTTTGGCTAGAGACGTCATAATCATCTAGCTATTATGAACATGCATATTAACATAAATAACAAAAGAAATTTCTGAAGAAATTAGAAAATCATCCAATACTATTTGTAATAATATTTCTTTAAAATGCTCTAAAATGATTTGATTATTTTATACGTTATTAGCCAAAGCCTACTTAAATTTTTTTTAATGGTTGTAAATTGGTAAAAACATAAAAAGGCTAAATAAAAGGTTAAATAAAAAGATGAAAATGTTTACAAATATTAACAAA